CCTAGGATCCCCCCTTTTTCTGTCAACCAGGTTGTGTTTCTAAGGAGATGTAAACCTCTCCTAAGAGTCTAACGAGAGTACCTGCTGGTTGTTCGAATTGTAATAAATTGCCGAATTATTACCAACGTAATACTTGATTGTGATTATCTCAGCTGTTTCATACCAAGAGAAAAAATTCCAGGAGAAGTTGCAGAAGATGCGCGAGTTATGCCCTGAAGGGGCATCGTGGCTGGATGGACATGACCTATCCATGTGGACATTTCATAAAGACAGAGGTACAAGATGGGGTATGACCACAACAAACTCATCAGAGAGTATCAATTCTTCCTACAAGGGTGTTCGGGCGCTGCCAATCTCTGCCATTGTGGAGATGACTTTCTGGAAAACGAATAGATGGTTCATCAATCGACTACACTGGGCAAGGACGAACGAGGCACAGGGAAAGGTCCATGCCAATAAAGTCACAGAAATACTGGAGCATGATAATCGGAAGAGTAGTGGACACAGTGTAACCATTATGAATCGAGCAACTGACGAGTTTAGCGTGACGACTGGATACCATGAGGATGGTAGACGCGGGGGCCATCGCCATGAAGTTTTGGTATATTTCAGGATAAAACTTGGTGAGCACTCATGCCAGAAGTATCAGGGGAGAGGGTGGCCATGTTCTCATGCAATGGCTGTAATTAAAAACAGGAGCAAAGACCCCTGTCACTTCGTCAGTCCATTCTTCAATATCGACTCACTCAAAAATTGCTATGGACGGAGTTTCCGTGCATTGCCTGATGAAGCTTATTGGCCGGTGTACTCAGGAAAGTTGATAATCCCGCCGTTCTGACAGAGGTCTGAACCGAGTCCACCGAGGAAAAAGAGAATTCAGAACGAAATGGATCAAAGTGGAAGACCACCACGAGGCCCAAGACGATGTTCAGTATGCAGAGTTCCAGGGCATGATAAACGAAGTTGTCCAGGTCCGATTTGTCCTCAAAACCCGAGTCCTGATGTGGGGGACTCAGCTAATGCGACATAGTTTGCGGTTTTTAGTTGTTGGTACTTGTTATGTATGTTTTCAATTATTGTCAGAGTTAGAGCTATGATGCTTGGAACTTTCGTGTTTGGCAAATAACCCTCAATTAACACTCAAGCCTTAAGTTAACACGATCAAAATAGAGAAAGCCAAGTACTTAGAACTAAAATAAAAACTAAAACAACACTCAATTAAAGAAACTAAAATAAGACGGAAGGGTTTCAAGTACATATAATTAAAACATAACTAAAAACAACACTTAAAATGATAAAAACAACACTAAAAATCTATCTCAAGGAAGTCCCTGGGACTCATGGGGCTGCAAGGTTTCTTGCTCCTTGTACGACGAACGACGGGAGTAACCATCAGTGGTTGCGGTGGCAAGCTTTGATGAGTCGTGCTAGGGCGCTCGTCAGTGCTGCGTCGGCGTCAATCCGTGGTATGCGGCGCTTCCGGGGTCGAGCGGGGAACATCGACGCTCATACGGTGAGGGGTAGGAGGCCATGGCTGATGAGGGCGAGGAATAGGATTGAAGTCGTGATGCGCAGTCGTGGAGAAACCATCATGCCAAGTACCTGAGGATGTGGGGGGTTCGTTGAAGAAGTTAGGGCGAGGATCATAGTATGGTGGGCGGGGATCGTGGTATGAGATCGGGTGGGGATCATATGGGGATTGATGGTAGCTCAGAGGGGATTTATGGTAGGTCGGGCGGGGATAATGGTGTGACAGAATGATGGTAGGTCGGGCGGGGATCATGATGGGGATCTTGGGAGTGGCTCGGGCGGGGATTTTGGGACAAGCTCGGGCGGGTTTCTTGGGAGTGGCTCGAACGGGGATCATGTTGTGATCTCGGACCGCCACCGTGTGCCACAACCAAGCGGGTCGGAACTCTTCACGCCTCCAACGGCCTTATCTCGGGCACATGAGGTCTTTCCCGAACCTTCTTGCTTTTCTTTCTCTTATATGGTGGTGGGGGACATCAACTTGTACCGGAGGTGGCACCGGTGCGGGCATGGGTGGGTATCTACGATGATCACGACCCTGTGCTCTGATACAGACAAGCAGACTGTTTGTCATCCTCTTGATGAAGCTCACATCTTCATGTCCCATTTCATGTTTCCCATGGGTCAACTCTTTGATCCGCTCGATCCCATCAGGCTAAGTCACATAAAAAAGTTGGCAAGATAAGACTAATGATGTGACAGAATGAAACAAGCAATAAATTTAATCTTATTAGACGGAATATACCTACCAATGCACCATCGGCCGCACCCTCCGGAGTCACGTACCGAACCGATGTTTGCCGATATCTATCCATGTATGGGTCATGATACCCCATTCGACCCACACTTGTTGGAGTGACAATATCCTGAAGTTATCAGTTCTCCCATACCGCGATCATTTCCGCCAACTTCGTGGGCCAATCGTGAGTACCTTGCCGACCATCTCGGTGGTGAAACGCCCTTTGACTCTCGGGGACCTCCAACGGAATGCGCTACTCTCGACCAAACTAACGAAGACATCGATCCGGCAGGTGCCACTCCATGGTCCCTAAACAAATGAGAGGGACCCTCGTGCACCATTACCCGATATTCTCGGGGAATTGTTGTAAATGCCAATGAACGATGTTCGCCGGGTATGGATCGAATTTGATCTAAAAAAAATAGTAACTTAAGTTAAATCCGATTGGAAAAATACATGTACTCCATGAAAAAAAGTTATAGCACTTAGAAGTATTCTAGTTACCTCTCCTTCCCAAAGTCGCTCTAGCCTCCTCCGATACTCTACCAACTTGTGTTGGGCAAGGTTGTCGCATGTTGAGGCTCCAACCCACCTTATTAATAAGACAATAATAAAAATACAGTAAGCTAAAATAAGCTAAAACATAAGGATTATTGGGTTATTAAAATTATGATGGGGTATGAGAAATTTACCTACAACCATAAGCTTCGAGTCTTAGGGGATGATTGGGACCCAAATTCCTGTCGGGACATGGGAGCGGTGCAATCCATGGCAGATGCTCCCAAGCCAAAAATTGGACGATGAACATTGTGCCGCCGACCTCCCTCACAGCTTTGAGATGCATTGCACAAATGGTGGTAGATATTAGCTAGGCAAGCGGATGCCCAGCTCAACTCCCCCATCGCATCCCAACTACCAAGGAGGATCCTAAGCCATCCACAGCTAATTAAATTGCTCGATTTTTTGGAGAAGAACACTCCTCCTATCATGCCTATGAGATAGACACGAGCATATCTTTCCTTCTCCAGCTCCGGACTTTCCTCGGTTAGGGGCACCCCATTTTTTTCAGGATCGTGAAGGTCCCTAAAATGAGATTGATACTCCTCCTATCATGCCTATGAGATTGATACTTGGCCTTTCCTCAATGGTGGTAAGCGATCCGTCGCATCAACGCTCCCCTGGGTTGGTACTTTCACCCCCAAAACACTTTGGATAAAATACTGCCAACCGGTCATACCGTCACGATCCTCAGGGGGATGATCACTCACACACGCCGCTTTGCCGTCGATGGGAAGATGAGTTAGGATGGCGACGTCCTTGAGTGTGATGGTGCACTCTCCTTCGCGAAAGTTGAAACAATGTGTCTCCTTTCTCCATCTCTCCACCAATGCGGTGATGAGTAGGCGATCGACTTTTATGCCTACAAAATGCCTAATCGACTCCAACCGTGCCCTTTTGAGTAAGGGCAAGATAACTGGGTTCCATGGGAGCACATTGGTCGTACCCCTGTAGCGGGGTATTTGTTGTGCCTCCTAGCAAAAATTTCAACGTTATTTATGATATATTAGTAACAGTTTAGTCTTATAACTAAATGAATTAAAATTAATGATTTGATTTCGACCATAATTAAAATTATTTATGATATATTAGTAACAGTTTAGTCTTATAACTAAATTTTTTAAAATTAATGATTTAATTTTGACCATAATTCTATTATAATTATATTATTAACAATCAAATTTAAGTAATTTGCAATTTTTTCCAAGATATATACATATTATCATAAAACAAACATACTAAATTAATTGACCTAAATAACATTCTAAATGAATAATAATTTAAAGAGATACATACATATTCAAATATTTGAAATTAATAAAATTCATTTGAGTACACAGAAACATAAATCGTATTGCTTGTTTGGTAATTAATTTAATCGTATTGGTTGTTTTAAATAATTTAATCGAATACAATGCAACACTCGTTAGAATCTTAGAAGAGGTATACATCTTCTTAGAAACGCAGCCTTTTTGACAGAAAAAGGGGTGATCCGAGGATCTCTTAATACCCGATTTTCCCAGGTAATGGGAGGATCATGATAATCGCTTAAAACCCCGTTTCCTTAGACGTGCATCTCTTTATAAAGAGTCGAAGTAAGTGGCGCTATGTATTCGATTAAAATATTGAAACCAACCAATACGATTAAATTATTTCAAATTTATTTTATATTCCACTAAGTACATTAGCAAAATAAAAGAAAGATAAATGACGAAGAATTATATGTACCGGGTGATCTTTCAAAACATAGCTTGAACGATGGTTGGGTTGGTCGTACAAGTCGGTTGGATCAATAGGCCCTTGATCCAAATAGTACCGTTGGTTGTATATATTCACGTCGTCCCCAACCTACGAGAGAATAACAACAAGGATGATGAGTCAATTGATTATTCCCATTTTGTGAAAGGAAATCAAACCATATTGTAGTTGTAGTCACACAACTAAAATCCTATTCAGAATATCAATAAGCGGCTTTATACACTACTTAGCTGGTACAATATCATATTGATTAAGAATTGAGAATCCATAAATTAAAGGAGAAGTGATGAGAATTCTCAATCGAGTACGTAAATCAATAATAAAGAACTTTCAACAATGGGTCATTATTATAGATAAAATCTACCGACAATCTCTGATAATAAAAAAATCTAAATTTTATATAATTTATTTAAACATTAGATCTAAAATTATTGCGGGCAAGTGGCCGCCTGGCCGGTTCAGATCTGTCTAGGGGTGGGTGGAGAATGGTTTGACAGCTAAGCTAAGGTCGACTTCGGTGTGGACCCTGCGTTGTTTTCGATCGGTGTCGGAGAGGGAGCCGATAAGAATCCTGCTGCTCTCTCCCTGCAATGCAATGCAAAGCCCATAGTAGCAAAATTCCCAAAATCATTGGATTCTTCTGATCGCAGCTTACCAAGTTTTTATTTATTACTGAAAATGGCAACACCGACAACTATCAATACTCTGGTCAGCCCGGTTGTTCTCTTCCTGATCCTCCTGTCCGCCCCCGCCGACTATTCAAACGCGTCGGCGGAGACAGCAGAAGCAGTCGGCGGTGATACCGGACCATGCTTCACGTCACTGTTCAGCTTCGGCGACTCCGTAAGCGACACCGGCAACCAGATGCTGCTGGGTAAGTGCCCTCACTGTTGCTCCCTACCAAACGGCGAAACATACTTCGGTCGCCCGACTGGTCGCTGCTGCAACGGGCGTCTCATCGTCGACTTCATTGGTAATATCACTTAACGCTAGCTCTTATACCTTGCTCTGCATATATATACTGAACTCAGTGTGTAATATAATGTTTTTGTTTTGGGATTTGGGTTTGAATCAGCTGAGAAATTGGGGCTTCCTCTGCTGACGCCGTTTCCGGGAGAGCTGAAGAGCAGCAACTTCCGGTTCGGGGCAAACTTGGCGGAGGGAGGCGCGACGGCCCTTGATTTCCGGTTCCTTGCGGAGAGAGGGATCTTCAATACGCACACCAACGTGTCGTTGGGCGATGAACTCAAAAGATTCAGGAATTTATTGCCCACACTCTGTTCCTCACCATCTGGTATCTAATATCTTTACTATTCATGGCATTAAGTTTTTTCTCAATACTTTCTTCCCAACTCCCAATACAATCTTATCTACTTATATAATAATAAAAAGATCTTATCCACCATTTATAAATGAGTTGTTATATTGTTTGTAAAATTCCAATATATGTTATAAAATGCCTTCCCCTTTTTTAAAGTTGCATTAGGAATGTAATTTGCTTTCAACATGGGTTAGGAACAATATTAGGAGAATAGGAGAAGATAATTATTTATCATTTTTATGATGGAAAAGACAATTACTTATTTATCATTTTTTATGATGGAAGAGATAATTAATGATTAATTTTGGAAAAATAATTAAACCGCCAAAACCACTGATATTACTTTGGATTGCTTACTTTCCCCTTCTCATTTGACACGGAATGAAAAATAACATTGCCTTATGTCTGAAGTTGTTTTATGCTATATGTAAAACTGTTACATTGGACTTATATGTATGTTACGTCTCATGTAAAACGAGCATTAAAGTATGATTGATTTTTTCTAGACATATGCTCCTTTATGCAAAAAAGTTAAAATCAACTTAAATCAAAGCAACATATGCTCCTTTAAAAATTAATCCAAATGACTATAATAAAAGTAGTTTATTCCTCATAAACTTTGCACATGCTTATTATTAGATAATCAATAAAATAACATAGTTATCACACATTTTAGTCCACATGTCTCCTCACTTTTCATCATAAAACTAAATTTTCTCTTGCCTAGTCCAAAGTCCAAATTCATGGGTCTATTCACCCCATTTGGAATTTGTTTTTCTAATCCTAGTTTTTTAATAGAATCATATTATTTTTTAATTAAAACATTTTTGTTGTGGTTTTTTGCTCAATTGTTTTGGAAATTTTAATTAAAACGAATGAGGTATTGAACACTAAAAATTTGTGTGATTGAAAAAATTTATCAACTACCATTCTGGATATTCGTCCGTTATAATAAATTAGGTTTTGTAACTCTACGTATATTTGAATTTTTTACCATAACCTACGTAGTCAACATGTTTTCTCATGATGGTTAAAATTTAAAACATGGGAGTGATTTCAAAAAATTTAACGAAAATAAGATGGTGAGGCAAACTTTCTTATCTCACAGTAGAACAATAAATAAGAAATTAAACCATAAAAAAAATATCTTATGCATTATTTTCTTACAACCATCATTTTAACAAGTGGCTTTTTGCAGAATGTAAGATTTACCTCGGAAAATCTCTAATTATAATGGGAGAAATCGGAGGGATTGATTACAACAGAGCATACTTTGAAAATGTTGCCGTTGAGCAAATAACAGAGTTAGTACCATACGTCATTGCCGAAATTGGCAACGCAATCCAGGTAACTAAATACTGATTGATCCAAAATTGACCGATGGAATTGCTTCAACAAGAGACTAACTTTCAGTAAATTAATTTCCCCAGGAGATGGTGGAATTAGGGGCAGTAACAATCCTGGTTCCAGGGAACTTCCCGCTTGGATGCCATGCTGGTTACTTGGCCAAATTCTGGAGCCCTAACAAAGAAGACTATGATCCCTTGACCGGATGCCTTGTTCAGTTCAACAATTTCGCCCAACACCACAACGATCTTCTCCAAGAGGAAGTAGTTCGGTTGCAGAAAGTTCATCCCCATGCCAACATCATGTATGCAGACTACTATAACTCAGTCATGCGCCTCCATCTACACCCTGACGAATTTGGTACGTAACAGTACCCCTCTTTGAAATCGTACATTTGATTATTTTTTCTTCTCTTATAAGCGATAAGTCTCGATTGAATAAGTCGGATAGTAATTGGTCGAGTTTGAGGTGAGTAATAAATTCTTGATCACATGTTGTGAATCGTCACGCGTGAAATCATTACGAAAAGTAGGATTATTACCAATATGGGATATTAAATTATGTTGTGTCGTGATGGAATTTCTTTAGGGTTCAGTGCTTCGTTGGTAGCGTGCTGTGGAGGGGGTGGGCCGTACAACTACAACGAGTCTCTGCTTTGTGGAGTCCCGGGCACCACAGCTTGCGCTGATCCGTCGACGTTTATCAATTGGGACGATCATCATCTCACGGAGGCAGCCTATAGGATTATTGCCAACGATGTGTTACAAGGGCCGTTCTCTATTCCTCGCTTCAATACATCTCACTGTCCCGTGACTACCCGAGCGGCAAGTGGGGAGGGACACTATTTCGCTTATTGAATGGTTATGGTTAACCTCTTGTAATAAAAAAAACCATGAAAACAAAATGTTAGTATTGACTGAATTTAGTGTTTAGCACAATTTTAGTCTAAGCATGTTAGGCATTGGAATTGGAAGTAGGGGTGGCTATACGGTCCGGTTAAATTGACCCAAATTGATCCGGTCCAGTCCGGTTTTTTTAAAAATATAAGGACCGAAGATTGGATTGGATACAGTCCGGTCTTGATTCGGTCCGGTCTTGACCCGGTCCGGTCCCAATTCGGTCTTGATTTTATATTGAGATTGTGGGAATTTGAGTGGCCTAAGGCCTAAAAGGGTGAGGAGTTGGTTAAGTTTTGTACTAAGTGCAAAGGTTTGTGACCGTTTATGCAAATTACCCTTAAGTTTTGGGTGTTGAGCTCTCTTATCCGGTCTTTATCCGGTTTTTTACCTCAAATCTAAGCCCAAAGATTGGATTGGATTGTTTACTATCCGGTCCCGGTCCGGGTTATACGGTCCGGTTTCCGGTTTTTCATCCGGTCCCGGTCCAAATAGCCAGCCCGAATTGGAAGAAAAATATCTATTTGCACTGCATGATATATGAAATAAAATTTAGGGCAAATACCACTAGAAAACCCAAACTATAAAAAAAAGTGTCACTTGTATCCCAAACTATATATATATTCAATATGATATTTATGTCCTAAACTATTTTTTCGTTAGTGTTGACCGAGTTTACATCTAAGCGTCGATATGGCATCTGATATGGAATTTTAATATTAATTTTATTTAAAATGATTAAATCTAATTTTATTTATTTTTTCTATATCACTTTAAAATATTTAAATTTAAATAAAAATATTTAAAATAAAAAATATTTTTATCTGTAACGGTCAACGAAATCGCCAAGACATAAATAACACACAACTATCATACGTTGGGACATAAATGGAATATTGAATAGTTCGGGGCACAAATGAGACTTTCTTGATAGTTTGGGTTTTCCAGTGGTATTATCCCTAAAATATACAGTGGTTTCTCACTTCAGTTTAAATGATTAATAACTTGCTTAACACTTAACGATAAATAAACAACTCACAAATTCATAGGATCATAGTTCAATAGCTCACAAAGTTCTTAAACTATTGAAAATATTGACATAGAAAATTGATTTTGTAAATGATGTTATTTTCATTCTTTCATATGGAGACACTAAGCAAGACGTTTTGGCATTGCCTTACGTCTAGACGTGACTAGGCGTAAGTTTAAACCGTCTTTTCGAACCATGGTTAGGAGCCTAGTCTGTGCTTGATAAACATTGTCTTTTTTTTTTTTGTTACTGTGCCTGATAAACATTGGTTTCCATTTTATTTTATTTTATTTTTCAATTCATTCATGAAAATGTCAGATTTTTCTCAACGTGATTCAGTACCAAGCAGAAAATTAGAGAAATAACAAAGAAGTGGGTGATGAATGCATGTGGCCTGGCCTACTACCTTTTCCATCAAATACTTATGCAGAATAATAATACTCCTCAACACTTCATTAATATTGTTGCTTTTTTTTATGCAAATGGGAAATTAGTTTAGGATTATTTTTACAAGAATCATGAAGTTAAACATACTTAAAATGGTACAATAATAAATAGTCTCTTCAAAAGTAATCATAATGCACCAAAAAATTAAACTCTCAAATATCTACATCCTATTGATTTTTTTTTTTACAACTACATCCTATTGATTTTGTTCTGCCCCTGTTTAGTCCGGTTTTCAAAAGTGATTTTCAATTTCAAAAGCTACAATAAGGCCAAACTGAACCTCTAATAGTTGCACCGCCATTCTTTTATAATGCTTGTTCTTTATTTCTTTTATTTTATCTCAATAAGCAACAACAATGATAAGCATGGCTTTTGGTGTGATCATCTCATAAATCATAACAAATATCTACACCCTATTTATTGATTCTAGTGGTTTCGCCCTATTCTTTTACTAGCTTTATACTCGCCCGTTGGGCGGCAAATTTTGATTGGTTATTATATTTTGCGTCCTAATATTATAATTTTATTTATGATTCATTATGTTAAACTATTATACATTGAATTGTTAATCTCACTTACCAAATTTCATATATTGTTTCACATTTTTATATCTTTCATTTATTTATGAAAATTTAATTTTATTAAATGAGCTCTCTATAGTACTTTCTTTATTGATTTATAATTGTGTATCGAATCCACCATTTAAGATATAAACTAAGAGATTATTAACAATCCTGAATTCCATGGTAGATGACCTTAATTTCTTCCATAATTACTCGTGGAAGAATTATATTTGCATTAATAAGGGAAAAGAAGCCAGGGAAACAAACAGTCAAAGAGCATAGTACAAAGTTGGGAAAGATGACCTTCAAAAGAAATAAGCCAAATGCCAGCACGAAACCCCCACATAGAAAACAAAATACACATTTGGAACTCGGACATTCCTAGGCAGAAGCAGCTCAAATCCAAACCTTAACAGCATCTGACGACCTAACCTAAGCATTAATCCAAATACTCAATCCCAATTCCTCCATAAAATTGCCACGAGCCAACACCGTATCCTCTCTAAAACCAACGATATCTATGAAGATAAGGTGTGATTAATTTCCTAACACTTTCTAATGTTTCTCCAACGTATGTACGCCTACATATTTTATAAATTTAGATTAAATACACCTAAACTATACATAACTGATAACTCTAGTCTATTCTATACAATGAAATATAATTCTCTAAAATCAACGATTTCTATGAAGATAAGGTGTGATTAATTTCCTAACACTTTCTAATATTTCTCCAACATATGTACACTTACATATTTTATAAATTTAGATTAAATACTCTTAAGCTATACATAACTGATATGTTACGAGTGTTACGAGCCCTCGATTACTACTCTTTAGTCCTTGATTGTCCATATTTGATAGTTAGGAGTAAAGATGGTAATTGTCCATCTATTTCATTCGTCCGCTCAAGTAACAGGAAGAAGGGTTGGACTCTCTCATATATATATATATATATATTCATTGTAATCAGTGGCCGAGAACCCTAACTCTCAGAAATCTCTCATAAAACTAATAACATCATCAGCCTGAGAGTGGTTTCACTCTCCGTGGATTAGTCCTGTTCACATCGAACAGGGATACCACGTAAAACTCGTGTGTTCGTTCGATTCCGCATTGTCGATTTCTTCATGGTATCAGAGCTGTGATAACGATCCACAGCTATCATCATCATGTCCGATGACGAGAAATCTTCAGGCAGCGACGTTGATTCCAAATCTCAGGTTGCGCCATCGCCGTACCTTCTTCATCGCTCGGATAATCCAAGCCAGCTTTACGTTGGTGATCTCCTTACTGAGCTCAACTACAGCGAGTGGTTGGGCGACATCACAGACTCGTTACTTGCGGAAAAAAAAACTCGGGTTTGTAGATGGTTCTCTCTCAGCTCCGACATCCGATCATGAACGTGATACGTGGAGACAATGTGATGCCATGGTAAAGGGATGGCTCAAAACCTCCATGAGCAAGGAGGTACGCAGCAGCGTTCGTTTCGCAAAGACGGCTCGTGAAATCTGGGTTGACCTAGAGGCGCGGTTTGGACATGGTAGTGCTTCTCGGCGCTACGAACTCTGTCGTACCATTGCTTCCCTAGCTTCATCAAGAAAAAACTTTAGTCGCAACATTTTATACAAAACTTCGTGGCTTTTGGGACGAGCTAGCATCTCTTGCTCCATCTATCGAGTGCACATGCAAGAATTGCACTTGTGACGTCAAACGTCGTCAACGAGAGGATCATGATGTTGAACGCCTCTTTGATTTCCTAATGGGACTTGATGGAGCATTCTCTATTTTTAAGTCACAGGTCCTTGCTATGAAGCCGCTTCCTAGTGTTGCCGAGGCTTATCATATGGTAGCCAATGACGAACAGTAACGCCACGTTACCAATCAGCATCGTCCGCAACCGGAAGCAGCAGCTTTTCAGGCCAAAGGTGATCGTGATCGTCGCTCGCCGAGGACGTCTCCCGTCGCTCAAGGGGAGCGGGATTCTGACGGGCTTCCATACTGCTCCCATTGCCAAAAATCCGGCCACTGATTACAATGAATATATATATGAGAGAGTCCAACCCTTCTTCCTGTTACTTGGGCGGACGAATAAAATAGATGGACAATTACCATCTTTACTCCTAACTATCAAATATGGACAATTAAGGACTAAAGAGTAGTAATCGAGGACTCGTAACACCCGACCACTTTTGGCAGACATGCTTTAAGCTTCATGGCTTTCCACCGTGATCTTGCGATAAAACCGATCAGCCCCGACGGCGTGTCCAGACGCCTCCACCAAAGGCTGCCCAAGTTGATGCTTCTGTGAGCCCGGTTCGAGGTCTCACCGCCGCCCAATATACCCAGCTGCAGGCGCTACTTGGTTCCGATCCTCAAGTTGGTTCGCAGACACCTCTTGATCCCGTCTCCAATATGGCAGGTACGATTTCACCATCTAAACACTCATGGATTATTGACAGCGGTTGCAATGAACATATTATAAATGATTCATCTTTCATGGCCGAGGAACATGATTCATCCCCGGCCCTTCAGGTGCGTATACCCAATGGTACGGGAATCAAGGTCCATAGTATAGGGTCTGCGAAACTTTCGAAAGATCTCAGTTTGCGGCGAGTGCTACATGTTCCAAAATTTCAATGCAACCTGCTATCTGTCAGTAAACTCACGGCTGATCTTCCAGTGGCTTTAATCTTTCTAAGCGACTTCTGTGTTATTCAGGACTTACCTTCCAAGAGGCTGATTGGGATGGGGCAACATCGTGATGGGTTATATTATCTTCGGCTTTTTGACATCAATCATGTTGTAGCTCATTCGGTTCGTCGTGCAGCAGATAGTTCGACCTTGTGGCATGCTCCCTTAGGCCACCCCTCAGAGGCGAAGACTACTCTTCTGCAGAAGTTTATTTCGAGTCCTGTTGTTACTCATTCGGACCCTTGTCATTCTTGTCTCCGTGCTAAACATACTTGGCTTCCTTTTGTTTCGAGTTCTATTAAGACCAAGGATTGTTTTGAATTAATTCATATCGATGTTTGGGGAAGTTATCGAATTCCCTCTGTGTATGGTGCTCGGTTCTTCTTGACAGTTGTTGATGATTTCAGTCGAGCAGTCTAGGTGTTTC